AGGGTCTGGTGCTATCTGGGTCTCACTGTGCAGCTTCGGATCCCTCATCCAACCCTTACATAGGGGCCTAAAGGATTACCTATGCAATTTTTTGGGGGGTTCCTGAATCATTACCAGTACTATTAGGGTTTTAGGGTTTAGGGNNGTTTCGGGTTTAGGGTTGCGGGTTTAGGGTTTAGATTTTTCGGGGGGGTTCCTTACTATAATTATAGGTTCATGGGCCCCAAAAAACCCTATTTCTAATTATTAAGGCCCCTACATCACTCCGTTTGCACAGAGTCACCGACTGGAGCGCCTGGACTTGGTGGAATTCCTGAACTAGGTCCTTGCCCTCATGCCCTATAGGCCCTATAAAACTTGAGCCCTTAATGTAGGGGCCTTACTAATCAGAATAGGGTTTTGGGCTCCTTTATAGTATAGTTTTAAGAAGGAACCTAAAGAAGATATAGGTAATTATTGAGGCTTCTATATCGCCTAAGCTTTAAATCCTGATGTCCTAATCCCTATCCGCGAGAGGACATGGGCAACTGGGTGGCCACGAAGTGGGAGGGTTACGTGCGCCCCACGGACAAGGCTCAATCGCATCCCACAGGAGCCACTCAGGGATTAATTCCTTTGAGGCTTCCTTCAAGGGTTCCGTTTGGTGCTGTGGGATAGGGCATGGGCAGGGGGGCGGAGGTTAGGCAAACGAAAATTTGTGTTATGGGTCGGAGGGCCTTATAGTGCAGGAGCTTACAGTGTTGGTTGATGGAACCCCCTACACCCCCAAAGCCTTAGTTCTTGTTAGAAACCCTCATGGAAACCCTTATGGAACCCGTATAGAACTCCTTATAGAATCCTTACAAAGACCTTGTTTGGGAACCTCATGTGCCTAAGCGTTTTTCCAAAACCCTAAGGCCCTAAAGCCCGAAGCCCTGAACCCAAAGCCCTAAAGCCTAAACCCAAAACCTTAAGCCCTAAACCCAAAGTCCTAAACCGTAAGTCCTAAACCCTAAACCCTAAGCCCAAAGTCCTAAGCCCTAAACCCTAAGTCCTAAACCCTAAGTCCCTAAGTCCTAAATCCTAAGCCCAAAACCCTAAACCCCAAAGTCCTAAGCCCTAAACCCTAAGTCCTAAACCCTAAGTCCCTAAGTCCTAAACCCTAAGCCCAAAACCCTAAACCCCTAAGTCCTCGTTATAGACCCCCTTGAGGAGCCCTTTAAAGGAACGAAAAAACCCAAAGAAGGAGTGGACCTCGAGCTTCTGAAGTCCATCGGCGCAAAGCTCTGCGCAGTCCCGGAGGGCCGCTGGGTCTGACAGGGTTTAGGGTTTTTAGGGTTTAGGGCTTAGGGCCTGGGGTTTAGGGTTTTTAGGGTTTTAGGGCTTTAGGGTTTTAGGGTTTAGGGTTTTCAGGGTTTAGGATTTAGGGTTTTAGGGTTTAGGGTTTAGTGCTTAGGGTTTAGGGTTTTAGGGTTTAGGGCTTAGGGCCTGGGGTTTAGGGCTTTAGAGTTTAGGGTTTAGGGTTTTAGGGTTTTGGGTTTAGGTCTTTAGGGTTTAGGGTTTAGGGCTCAGGGCTTAGGGCCTGGGGTTTAGGGCTTTAGGGTTTTAGGGTTTAGGTTTTATGCTTCAGGGTTTAGGGCCTAGGGTTTAGGGATTTAGGGTTTAGAGTTTAAGGTTTAGGTTTTTAGGGTTTAGGATTTTGGGTTTTAGGGTGTAGGGGTGAAGAGTCTAGGGTTTAGGGTTTTAGGGTTCAGGGTGTAGGGTTTAGGGTTTTAGGGTTTAGGGAGGGTTTCAGGGTTCAGGGTTTAGGGTTTAGGGCCTAGGGTATAGGGTTTCGGGTTTTGGTAGTCTGAATTGATACAGAAGCTCGGGTTAATTTAGTAAGGGATCTGTAAGGGCTCCTTCAAAAGAGTCTAGACGGGCTACGTTATACGGGATCTATAAGGTTTAGATAGCATGAATACCAATACGACCGTATGAACATGATCGTATGATGAACGCCCAAAACGCATTCTAATTATTAAGGTCGTACGGTTTAGGGTTTAGGGTTTAGGGTTTAGGGTTAAACCCTAAACCCTAAAGGGTTTGGGTTTGGGGTTTAGGCGGTTTAGGGTTCCGGGTTTAGGGCTTCCGGTTGAGGGTTGGGGGCTCGGGACATGCGGTTTAGGGTTCGCGGTTTCGTGTGTGCTAGTTTGCTGGACAAACCTCCAACCTACCCTATCAGCCATTTCATCAGCACGAAGAGCGCGGATGACTGAGAAGGGTGCTTTTGAGGCAACAAAGCAGTTACGGATTTGAGATGACTTAAGCGTATAGCTTATTTCCTTTGTAAGTTCGGTATAAAGCCTCAACTACACATGAGTTTACAGGCTGTTGAACACCATATGCTCTGGCAGCTTTGACTTCGTTGTCGTGTATTGTGCATTAGCTTCTGTCTGTTGATGTAATTGAGCTGAATCATCGGGTGTGGATTGGTTTCAATCTTGTCGTCGGGGTAACTGCCCAAACGAGGAGTTTTTTGACATTGACATTGGTAGTGAGCAATCTTAGTTACGGCCTTGTAGTTCGTATGTACTTCTGAGTATTATTAGATTATTCTCGAGACGGTAGTGTAAAAGCATAGTAAAGCCCCAACAGTAGGCAACACAGATTCTTCAAGGGCAGCCACGTCTTTGCTGCTTCAGGTTCCCCATATCGGGACGCCAACCCCTGCAGACTACAACCTCAAGCCCAAAACCCCGCAACCCAGGATATCCTGAAACTTAAGCCCTAAACCCTAATCCCGAAACCCTCAACCCAGAGCCAAGCCCTAATCCCTAAAACCCTATAAACCCTAAACTCCAAACTCAGCGGCTCATCCCGTCTCTCTAGCACCGTGTATTTTTTTGAGGTTTCAAGCTGCACAACGGCTTGAAACGCCAGCTCAAGAAGAAACTGGAGGACTGCCCACGCGTCAGGTTCCAGGTCTGGCTGGTTTAGGGGTTTAGGGTTTAGGGGGTTCAGGGGTTTAGGGTTTTAGGGTTGAGGTTTGGGTTTAGGGTTCACGGTTTACGCTGAGTCTAGGGCTTTAGGGTCAGGGCTTCAGGGCTTCGGGTTTTCCATACGGGTTTCCATAATCCTATAGGGATTCCCAAAAGACAGAGTTGTAGAAGGACCCGATTGGGTTTCAAAGTTCTATAAGGGCTGTATCAGTGAGAGGCCTGCCTGGCTCCAAAGTTTAGGGTTTAGGGTTTAGGGTTTAGAGTTTAGGGTTTAGGGTTTAGGGTTTAGGGTTTGGGGAGTTCAGGCTTTTCCCTTCCCCGAAGGCGCTAGGTACTGTTATGGGGAATACTTCCCCAACGAGTAATTCTTGATATGGAACCCCTACCTTCTACTATATGGGAGTTTCCAAAAGTTAGGGTACCTTATTTTGGGGGTCCTTATTATAAGGATCCTATTATTTAGGGTACTATATTAGGGTCCCCTATTTTCGGAAACCCCCATATGGGTACTTAGGACCCTTTGAGCTTGAGCCTGTGGTGTCGCATCTCAGTGGGGCCGCAGCAGGTTTGCAGTGTTCTACAAAAGTGAAACCCACTGTCCTGGTAGGACAACATCACCCCCTGGATCCAGCCCCCCCGCCAAAAAAAACAACAATCGACATCTAAACCCGAAACACTACTTAGCACGTACCAAGAGGCGTCCCCTTCTGAAGTTCTAAACTCAGGACCTCGAGGCTGCATTACCTTCAAAGCTTTGGGTGTAGTTATTGTCGGTTGTATTCGATGTCATGTAGGATTTTCGGCCGTCAGCAGTATTTCGATCTCGCTCCGCCCCACCACACAGAGTCAGACATCAAGTTGCAACGCTCTGGTTCTAAAACCACGCGTGCCTGAAGGACATCGAGGGAGGAGAAACCATCGATTGGGCCACCGCAGAGGTCCTTCCATTGGCTTTTGTGGGATTTCTTTGGAGATTGCACAGTTGTCGATACTTGGCTTCTTCAGGAGATGGTTTGAAACCGTCGCAGTTTCCATGCGCTCCTAAAGCAGGCTTTCCCGTGCAGTGGCCACGTTCAGGGAAGTGTGGTGCCACACGAGCGTCACAAGTGATTTCCAGAAGTATATATATATATGTGTGTTTATGCGTTCGTATACATATATAAACTACAAAGTAGGTATAAGCAAAAACGTAGACGTAGATACTTATATATATATATAGATAGATAGATAGATAGATATAAACCTTATATGCATATGTAAGTACACTGCAGTGGTGTCCCACCCTGCAACAAACCCCAGAAAGCTTCCACAGAAAAGCACCTGAACCCCAAGCCCACTCGTTTGGGTTATAAGGTTTACCTTAACCTACCAAAACCTACTATTTTGTAGGGTCCCTATAAATTCCATATTAGGGTTATGATAAGATCCTACAAAAAAGTAGGTTTTGGTGGGTTAAGGTAGAGGTAACCACCACCCTCCCAACCCTAAACCCCTAACTAAATCTCAACCCCCAAAACCCTGAAACCCTGAACCCGAACCCCAAAGCCCTAAACCCTTGGCCCTAAAACCTAAACCCTAAAACCCAAACCCCAAATCCCAAAACCTGAACTCTAAACCCAAAGCCCAAAACCAAAAAACCCTAAACCCCTAAACCCTAAACCCCTACAACCAACTATCAGGCCCTCGCATTTGCCTCGCTGCTGCTGGAAGGCTGCTGGCCTCAGATCGGCGCTTGTGGGCTAGGGGTTTAAGGTTTCTTGGTCGTTGCATTTGGGTTTGGAGTTCAGCTTTTTTGGTTTTGGGTTTTGGGTTTGGGGTTTAGGTTTTCGGGTTTACGGCTTTGGGTTTGGAGTTTAGGTTTCAGGGTTTAGGG